TTCTCGAAAGTAGCTTTTTCTGCATAAGATTGTCAGTTTCTTCATAAGATGGATTAATTTTATTAAGTTTCATCCTGAAGAAGCTACTAAGTCTAGGCAATTTTGACGTCAGTTAATTAGTGGTCTAAAATCAAAAATAAATTGGACATCTATCTTTTATTTTTTTTAATTTTTGAAATCCAAAGTTATATCTTCTTTTAAATGAAAAAGCTTTAATTTTTCTATGGATATATATACCAAAGTATTATTTAAATCTTATAGTTTTAAACATGTCACGTGGAAGTTAAATTTAAAAATTGACAAAAAAAAAAATTGTTTAATATTTCGAAACAAACTAAAAAAAAGACACAATATAATATTTTTTTAGTTAAAAAATACTTATAATAATTCTATTATTACTTTTAAATAATGGGCCCCTCAAATTTGAGGACCTAAGACAGATGCCTCGTTTTTAAAGGCACTAAGCCGCCCTCAGTACCCAAAAAAAAAGACGGAGATTTTTCCTATGTGAATTGATCTTCTTGTAAATACAAGAAATCCCCAAGAAAAAATTTGTGTTTTTCATACAAAATAACCACAACCATGTGTAGTATCTGTACTTATCAATTTAATAATAATTAAGAAAAACCAGAATCAAATAATTTTGCCTGATCAAACATCAAAAATTCATTATTTGATTACCGCTTTTTTGGATAAATTTGTTTGTGTAAAATGTATTCGATACATTACAATTTTGTTTGTGTATAATGTGTCTAGAACAAATGTTATTGTTAATACATAACCTCAATTATTTCAAACCTAAATTAATATGAATCTGGTTTATAGTTATATAATATTTGCCATGTATCGGACGAAGGAATAATGTATTCGTGAGTTTTGAAAAATTCAAAATTATTGTAACTTGGGAAACTTTTGGAATATGATATAATTAACACCTAAATTGTTTGAATTTCTGTACTTTATACTAAAATTTAAGTAACAATCAAAATAAATATTGTATTTAAACTACCGTCACAATAGGGGTAACAAGTAACAACAATCCAAACCAGAATCCACCTTCTTCTTTTTTTTAATTAAGTGTGTTACTATAAACAAAAATCCATAATAGACTTGTATAGTTTGACTTAATTACCAAATTAGACTCGTACACTACGGAGTAATAAAATATAAAACTTGAAATAAAATATTTTAGCTAAACAAATGACTTTACTTCCTCAAATTTTTATAACATGAAGCTATTGAGCTAGTTATTGCCTCAAATTTTTATAACATGAAGCAAACATATATATCTTCACGACTATAATATATATATATTGTTTAAAGTAATTTTCATTAGTTCCAAATTACTCACTAATTGTTATTCATTAAATAATCACTAAATGTCGTTGTTTTTATGATACTTGTATCAAATGTTGTTACTAATATGACATTCTTTCGTAAATGTCGAAAAGTTCTTTTTTTTCCCGACATGTCACCAAATAAATGTCGTTATATATCTACTTTCTTATAGTTTTTAGGGTCTATTAACGACTTTGACATGGCTTTACGAAACTTGAATAGACTTAGGGAGAATCATCCTAGTTAGTACCATTTATGTTATTGGTATACCATTCCAATCAAGATTACGTGCAACCAGGTGTAACGTGTCAAAGGTCACCGAGTCATCGTAAAGGGGAATTGGTTGTTTTGCGCATCCAACAACTGAAAGAGCTTGCGGAGAAGGGTTGAGAATAAGCCCCCTTTCCTTGATTGAATTTGGCTTCGCTGCACCCTGAATCAATCAAAAAGCTTATTGATTTGATTCATCCCATTTCATTTATTTGGGTGAGAGGGAGGCTGTGAGTCACCTGGGCTACGGATTTTTCCGTTGGTTGATTCTCGACATTTATGTAGTTCCTAAGGTCAAAACTCATCCTATTCAATTACTTCCTTGATTTTCTGTTCATTATGAGTAAAAAACAGAGTTCATAACAAAACTTAACATTTCATGAGAATAATTTGAACATCCAAAACTTGAATAACATGTATAATAATACATATGAAAATCACTACTAAGCAACGAAAATGAATGTGGTTGTTTAATTGCTAAGTCGTGGTTGAAACCACATTGGTGGATTAGGAAAAGGTCGTTTGATCCTTCCTTCTTGCATACAATAAATACCCGATTGACGATAAAGGGCTAGAGATTTCTTGTGTAGAGTATCAAGCACATCCACAGTAAAATAGATGCCATTTGCTTGGTATCCATTGCCACTTATGGTAGGAATTGAAAAGGAATTACTATTTGGTGACACAAATAGTGTTTGATCACCCAAACTAGAGATGTATTTGAAGTCTTTACTTTTTTTCTCAATACCTTCATATCGCTCGATTGTCAATTTAGTAGTATGATAAATAACGAGATCATAATCAACATCATCTTCAGAAAATGGATCTGTGTTATTCCAAATTATAAGCAACTCCCCTGTAATTGACTTAGCCAAATAAGTATATTTTAGGCCAGAATAAGCAATATAACGAAGCTCATTATTACAAGGCCGAATATGAGGAGCCGTGTTGTGTTTTACTATATTGATTATTTTTATTTTCAACTCGCAACGATCAGTCACGACAACATAATTTATTTCTTTACCAATTCTATCGTTATCTTGACTTGACTTAAAACTCAAAAAGTCCTCTTCCTTAGAAACAATAATGTATAACACATCATTGTGAAATAACATGCTTTCAATATTTTTGTGGGTAATTGTTCCATCTGCATCAAATAATTTCCATGATCTCTCTTCTTCTGTCACTCCAATGTCACAATTACAAAATCCCAATATTTCTCCGACTTCTTCATCTTCCAACTCGTTCATAAAATTCACCACGACTATGAGATTTCTAGTTGAATAATCATTCGAAATTGAAAATACATGAACCATATTAACCATAAATGCGATTTTTTGGAACGCATTACCGCGTCGATAATCAAAACGTGACGAGAATGGTATTGTTGTCAATGGAGGGAGTTTGACATCAATTTCTGAAATAGGGTCAAAAAGGAACATATCAGGGTTATGGTCCGGTCCAGCAACAAGAACCAACCAGCCATTAGAAGTTGCACAACAGAACGTAGCACCATGAGCTACCTTAGGATATTTATTCAAGATATGAGTAGGTAGTTTAAAAGAATAAAAACGATCCTCAGACAAACTATAGAAGTTGAATCCTATATGATCGTTATACACGCAATCTTTTATCTGTAAAAGCCAAGGGGCGGTAAGATGATGTGATGGCTTGAGATGAGCAAGCATTGATCTCCATGACTTGCAAACGAGAGTCATACGTACATAGTCACCAATGCCAACTCTTTTCAGTATCATGTCCATGATATCTATGAGGGTCTCTTCTTGCCATATGCTTCTAAGGGCCATTATTTGGTTGCGATTAAAATATAAGGTTATAAAATCCAGGCTAGTACATTTATAAGGGGAGCAACAAATATAATCCTATAGTAACTAGGAAAAGTAAACATTTATGATAATTAAAAAAAGAGATATATTATATCGATTTAATTTGAAATTAGTGAATTTTTGTTGGGTTCGAAAGTAATCATGGTTTCATGTGGAAGTTTATAATTGCAAATCATAGACTCGATAAATCAGATAACAAAGAACTATACTAAAAAAGCAAAATATTATTATATGATTTGGTCAATTGAATTACATATTATAAAACTTATATTGAAAAAACATAAACATGTTGGGAGAAAATCTCTCCCTAAACAAAACTCTTAAATGACATTGCGGATGTTGTTGTATTCTTAATATGATTAGAGGAGGCTCAATTTACAGAGTTCAAAAAATTTTCTCTAAAGAAAAAAATATCAAAATATGAAATATAATTATATTTTTTCTTTCAAAAAGTAAAAACATTTATGGTAATGTTTTGATTTTACTAAAAAAAAAAAAAGTAGAGCTCAAATAAGGTATGAAAATCGAGGGAAAACCATATCAATTTTAACTATGCTAATTTTGAAGATGGCGTCGAGTTCCCAAAATTCATTCAACGTAAGGTTCATAAGCATGGATGTCCAAAAATTTGGTTAATATATTAAGAAAACGTCGCAAAAATATATATTAATGTAATAATGTTTTAAATTATCAGATTAAAATTATTTAGAATTATTAATTATTACAACGTACTATAGATTCTAATTTGGTAATTTTAGTGAAACTATACGAGTCTATTTTGGATTTTTTTTTTTTATATAGTAACACGCTTATTAAAAAAGATTCTAATTTGGTAATTTTAGTGAAACTATACGGGTCTATTCTGGATTATTTTTTTTATAGTAACACGCTTATTAAAAAAGAAGAAGGTAGTTTCATGTTTTGATTGTTGCTACCCATTATATTGTGATATTAGTTTAAATACAATACAATTTATTTTGATTGTTATTTAAATTATGATAATTTTCATTATGACTTTTAATTTGTAATATTCTTTTTAGGAAAAATGCTATACAATAGCAAACTATTAATTTAAATTAAATGTTATAACCACAGTTTCATTTAATTCTAATCCGTAGCAAATAGTTTGTCACTTGCCTCTCTCCCCAGCGAATCTCGCTCGCCACTCTCCTTCGCCTCTCTCACTTTATACAAATACAAATGTATAAATTGTGTTTCTGTTTGTATAAAGCGAGAGAAAAATGTATCTACACATACAAACACATTGTCACGACCCGATTCCTCAAGTCATGATGACACCTACTATAACCCACCAGTAGGTAAGCCAACCCGTAACCCGGAACAACAAGTAATGGGTCTGAGGGTAGAAACTAAACAAGAGTAGGAAATTAACAATATAAACATGCGGAATCAAACCAAAAACATATATACAAATAAAGATCCCTCCCAGAACCTGGAAGTCACCAGTACAGAGCTACTACAAAATGAGTATAAGTCCCAAAACTGGACAACAAAGACTGGACTGCCTCGAAAGGAAAAAGACAAGTCTATATATACAGATGGAGACTGAAATAGTACAAAACGCCGTGTGCTCACCCCCGTCTCCGGATAAGTCTACTCCAAGCTCGATCAACGCTGGCTACTAGTGCCCGGACCTGCATCACGAAATAGATGC